GACCTAGGGTTGACCCAGATGAAACCCTAGTTGACTGTCTTCAACTGTAGCTCTTATGATCACATCAACAACTTGTTTTCTTCTCCAAATGACTTTTTAAGTCCTCCAAGATATCTAGATACTCTCCATGCCTTCAATTCACAGCTCACCATTTCTTTGTTGACCCTCAGATACCCTCAGATAGGAGATAGACTCAAAGCTTGATCTGCTGAACTCTTTGCTTTCAAATTCTTGTCTGATGACTTGAATGAGATGGAATTAGGATAATAACCTCTTGATAGGCCTCTAGAGATGAGAATAATGCTTGATCCCCTGTTGAATGACTTGCTATGCTTATGCTATGCAGATGATTAGTCTATGTACATGACTCTATATGCAAATGCTAATGATATTGAAACATAAACCCAAGTATAAGGTGGAGCAAATTTTAGGGTGCAACAATTTGGTCTTATCTTCAACTTGTAGACCCACTTCACGTCAAATTGCTTCTTGATTTCTTTTTCAAAAAAGTCCCCAGGTCTTATTCTTCTCGATTACCCTGAGTTCTTCTTACATGGCTGATAACCCATTCAAATTATTCATGGCTTGATCCAAATCGATTGGTTCTAATTCAGCCATCATCATTACTTCTTCTATTAATTCACCATCTGCATCGACTACTTGATCTGAAAATATTTCATATCCATCTAGCCTCATCGAATGAGTTCTTACTCAGTTGATCTCCTAACATTCTGCTTAGGTGGTTCTTCATTTTGATTGGTTGTGACTTCAGTTTGTTGATCTTCATCAAGTAAAGTTGTGACTTCTTCTTGCTCCTGTCAAAATGACCTTTGACTCCAATCCCACCTTATTCTTTCATCCACTAGAACATCTCGATTGATCACAAGTTTATCATTATTTGGTGAATACATTTTATATACATCAGTCGAATGATAACTAGAGCACCATAACCTAACTTCGATCATCTAGTTTCTTCCTTAATTATTCTGGTACATGTCTGAAGCACATTGATCCAAAGACTCTAAGATTACTAACATTTGAATTCTATCCTTTCCAAGCCTCATAAGGTGTCTTCTTAACTATCTTCTTTGTTGGACATATGTTTAGAATGTATACTGTCGTCGAAGTTGCTTCACCCGAAAATCTCTTTGGTACTTCTTTAGCTTTCAAGATGCTCCTAACCATGTTCAATATACTTCTATTTCTTCTCTCAGCTATACCATTATGCTGAGGTGTATAGGATGCAATGACCTCATGCTCTATACCTTCATTCGTGGAAACCTTGCAAACTTTCTAGAGGTGTATTCCCCCACCACCATCAGCTCTTAGTTTCTTTAAAGTGCATCCATTTTGCTTCTCGACATGCAATTTAAACTTCTTGAATTGTGTGAATACCTCACTTTTCCCTTCAATAAGGTAAATCCACATATATTTAGTGAATTCATGTATGAAGGTTAGTAAATATCAGTTACTTCCATTCGACTTTACTTCAAAAGGTCCACACACCTCAGAGTGAACAAGCTCCACCTTTTCTCTCGACTTCATGGACACGTCATGTTTGAATTCTTTCCTAGCCTGCTTTTCTTTGAAGAATTTCTCACACACTTGACTTGGTTCTTTCACTTGAGGTAAGAAATACACCATCTTCTTCTGGTTGAGCATACCTAGATCTATGAAGTTTAAGTGTCCAAACATGTGATGCCATAGCCAGTTCTTGTCTTCGACAACCATCAAAGCAAGACACTGATGATCAACCATCCTAATATCAATCTTGAAGGTTTTTTTTATTTACGAATGGTGCCTTCATGATCATCCTCCCTTCACCATTGTACACCTTCATCATATTTTCTTCCAACTTCATGTTATACCCTTTGGAAAGTAATTGACCTATGCTTATCAAGTTACTGGTCATTGAAGGTGCATACAATACGTCAGTAATGTTGGGCCTTCAATAATTCCTTCTTATCACAACTATGTTTAATCTTCCATCTAATGTAACATGCCTACCATCTGCAAACTTGATCACCTTCTAGACTAGTTCAACTAACTTGGTAAACCAATTTTTATTTTCAGTCATGTGGTTGCTCCATCTGAAATCCAGATACCATATATTGGTTTGTTCATTATCTGACTGTGTATTTTCCATGAGTAGCATATAATTGTAGTCGATTTCTCTAGCATGTTCATATTGCACCTCGTCATCATCTTTTTCTCTAGAATCCTTCTTTCTTCTATAATCTCGAGCATAATGACCAAATCCTTGACAGTTGTAACGTTGCACTTTCTTCATGTCAACTTTCTTCCTCGAATACTTGTTACCCATGACTTTCTTGATTGAATCACAATGATTATTTGACTTCTCATTCTTAGCAAGATTCTTTCTCATATTTTCCTTTTCTTTCCCATCTTTCTTTGTGAATCTTTCTTGCATTGCCTGTTCAGCCACTTTCTCCTTCTCTGAGTTCCTTTGCTTCAGTCTCATCTCACGAGCCTTTAATGAATCTTTAGGTTTTCCACCTTCATCTAAGCTATGTTCTTGGACTCTTCGAGGATATGACAATGTAATCAAAATTTGCAGCCAGAGATCTCAATACTTTCTTAATCTTCTACATATCTGTGACAGATTCACCATTTGTTTTCATCTGGTTTGTTAGTGATACTATACGCGTAAAGAATTCTAAAACTGACTCATCTTCTTTCATTTTAGTCATCTCAAATTGCTTTCTCAGTGTTTGCTACTTCACCCTCTTCAACTTTTCATCTCCGCCCTACAAGTTCTTTAACTTGTCCATGCTCCTTTTGTTGTTTCTTCTTCAATGATCTTCTCAAACATGTTAGGATCCACGTTGGATCAAGAACAAAACTTTTCCATCTTTCTTTCACCGTTCCTTGTGTGCAGCTTACTGAACATTACTCGTATTCTCTTCCAATGCAAGTACTCCATCGACAACGATTTTAACCGCATCTTGAAATCTAAAGATGACCTTCATCTACGCAACCCATCTTTCGTAATTCTCCCATTTGGAAATCGGTAGATTTGTTGGAAATTGCGTTGATGTTGTATTTCTGTTTTCCATTTCAAATTCTCTCTGAATCACAATCGGCCTCGTTGATATCAATTTGTTGAAACTAATGGAACAATTATGGTTTCAAGAAGAAGATGAAGAATAGAGAAAAGAAAGAATATTATTGAGTAAAACTGAAGTGATTACAATAAAGTTGTTGTTTGAAAACTACAAAGATATTTCTATATATAGGTAACCAAGGATCAAACCCAAAACATAGAACCCAAGCCCAAAATATACAAAGTTATATTTTAACTGACACAACAATTATGTGTTTTATTCGACTTTGTCGAATACAATCGACTCTTACGACTTCGACTAGCTACTTCAATACAATCAAATACTAGTTTTTCTACGAGACATCGAATTAAGAGTTCTAATATTACTCACACCCTCAAATTACTTTTCTACTAATTCACTAAATTAAATATCGAAATGTTAATCTTAGCGGTCCATCACCGTTTTATTATACCATAAGTTCACCCAACCACACTAGAATTCAAGTTCGTTCATCTACATATATTTGTGATTAGGGGTGTTAAACTCCAAACTGATCCAAATGAAAACCGCAAACTTATCCAAAAAAAATCGAAAATCGCAAAAAAACCGAAAATTATTGGATGTATTTGGATGTCATTTTGTAAATACCGCTGGGTTCAGATCAAATTTTGAATTGATTTTTCAAAACCGATCAAAACTAAACCAAACCATATGTATATATTTTTTATGCTTATTTATTTTTTTATTAGTATGATATGTTAAGTTAATTTAATATTAGATGATACTTATTTTTTAAAATATTATTTATTAGTTTGATTTAATCTATTTATTTTTATCATTATTATTTTGTAATATTAACTTTTAGGCTTAATATCTTTTTTGGTCCTGTATCTTAACCTCATGGTTCATTTTGGTCCGTTAAATTTAAAAAGGTCCATATTGATCATTTAACTCTTCAAAACATTTCATATTAGTCATTTTTGTTTAATTAGCGACCGATTTTAAAATTTTTCCGTCGCTAATAGAACAAAATGGACTAATATGGAACATTTTGAAGAATTAAGGGACCAATATGAACATTTTTTAAGTTAAGAGATCAAAATGAAACCCAAGGTTAAGATACAGGAGCAAATAGGGTATTAGGCCTAACTTTTAATAGTACATTATATATTATATCAAACTTATTATTTATTAGTACTTTTAAAATATTAATAAAAGTTATAATTCAAAGCCTAAGTCCGGTATCTAGTCTATTATAAACTTATTTTTAGATTTGAGTTTCACCTTTTTGCATGTCTGATTGACCTATTAGCTTATTTAAAAGTATATTTCGTTTGAACATTTGTAAATAAAAAATTCAACTAATCTTAAATAGACGGAGAAATTAAAAGATCATCGAGACTAAATATTTGTTTTCATTGTCTCATTCAAATTTATCTATTAACATAAGTTTTATATTATTATTTGGTGAAGAAAACTTATGACAATAATTTATAATATTATTTATAATGTTTTTTAAACTTATTTTTATAAAATTTTTAAGAGAATTAAGCTTTACTTTCGAATTTTAATTCAAAATATAAAATATAAAATAATAATAATAATAAAGTTTTTAAAATTTTAAAATAAACCAACTTAATAAATTTAAAAGACTTTTTTTCTACACTGAAACAATCTAAAATAGGCCATAAACCCTTATTAATTGGCCGTTTCTATTCCTATCCCTACCCTCAAGTTTTATAAAGGAGATCCCATCCTAAGATTTTTTTATTCAAAACATGTATCTCCAGCATAAAAAAGAAAATATACCACACGATTGAAATTTTTTTAATACTTAATATGAAAGCTAAAAATCGATACTACAACAGTACACTACTTCCCAACTTATAGATTCATATCTAATCGCTCCCATCCTTGCGGTGCCAGAAAACAAGAATGTGGATGGTTCTATCTTCCCCTCCTCAAACCCAACTTCACAATTCAATAACAACCCAAACCTGTTGGCATCATCTTCAATCCAAACCCAAGACTACAAGAATCAACTTCCCTTTCAAACTAAAATGCCAACAACAATCCAATTCCTCTCTCAAACCCAAAACCCAAGACGATGGAATCCCAACAGAAGACATAAAAACCTTAGCAAAATTCAAATCTAGACACAACTACATCCGTGTCTTAGAAGTTTCCAGAAAAGCCGACCACCCATTCCGCGGCTCCAGACTTCTCCTTCTCGATAACCCCGGAAACATCCACAGCATTTCCTACCTCTTCAAAACCCTAACTAACACCTACTTCGACGTCTTCGCCACCATACCTCCGATCATACCCCAAGGACCCATCGCAATACTCGGCTTCGGCGCCGGCTCCACCGCCCGCATCCTCGTTAACCTATACCCGGACATAGTCGTTCACGGCTGGGAACTCGATCCCTCTGTGATTGAAGTTGCAAGAGAGTATTTCAATCTTTCAAAAATTGAGAGAGAAAACAAACAGAGACTTTTTGTCTACGTCGGAGATGCCTTGAAGGCGAGTTTGGAAGGAGGATTTTCTGGGATTTTGGTGGATTTGTTCTCGGAGGGGAGTTTGTTACCGGAGCTTCAGGAGGCTGCTACATGGGAGAAGCTGAAGAGGAGTTTGAAGAAAGGTGGGAGGATAATGGTGAATGTTGGAGGGAGTTGTGTGGAGGCTGAGGATAAGGTTAGAGATGGGCATGTTGTGATGGAAGAAACTTTGAAAGCTATGAGAATGGTTTTTGGAGAGAAGCTTTTTGTTCTTAGACTTGGGAACCGTGGAGATGATAGCTCTCTTGCTCTTACTGGAAATTTTCCTGAAATGGATGCATGGAAGAACAAGCTTCCATCTTCGTTGAGATGTTATGCTGGTTTATGGAAGCCATATTCTGGTTAGTTCAGTTGTTTGAGGTGAAACAGAACGTTCGCACACCAACTGTTTGTGTTTATTCCTCTATGAAGTTTAGGCTTTGATCACTCATTTTTTCATTGGTTTGAAGGACACTTTTTGTGCAGAATATGATGGTTGTAATTTTATTTTATTGTTTGATAGGCAATTACATTTGGTATGATAGTTTTAATAATACATGTTAACAAGGATAGGCAGTAGAGCTTGGTTTATGTTTAAGGTTGCTTGGTAGACAAGTGACAAGCAGTATATAGCATATGGATAATCTAGAGTATTATCGTATTAATGAATGCGTTTTTATTTCCCGGTAAAAAAGACAATGATCGAGTTTGGTGAATAAAGATGTTTCATACTCCCACAAAGAGGTGCAAGAGTGTGAGACTCTAAGGATAACAATGAAAAAAAGTAGAGAGAAATGAGTAATTTGATGGAAAAGAGAGATAGTAAATAAATACAAAAGGAGCATTGTTGTTTAACGGTACATGATGGTAGGAGTTGTGATATATGGAAGCCATATCACTTATAACAAACATCATCTCTTTCAAGAGCACAATTCAGCTGCGAAAGATTTCTAATGTCTGGATTATGGTATGGCTTGGAAAAATATTTTGTCTTTATACGACCATGCTTGAGGAATTTTGTATATGTCATGCTTGAGGAATTTTGTATATGTCTGATCTCTTAAGTCGGATTTTTGAATGGACCGGTTTCAACCTAAATCCAGTGGAGCTCGTCCGAGTTACATCTACCCAGGAGAACAAGTTTGGGTTGGAATAGATTATGGGTCAGGTTGGTTATGTTGGCCCAAGTCTAGCGCATGGTGATATTTGATTAGGATATTTGGTTATGTTGGCTCAAACTCAATTTTCAATCAACATTAAGAGACCAGACAAATTAGGGACAATCGTGTTAAATTGTCTCAGGTGGACTATCATGTAAGAGGAGTCATTGCTGCTATATAAGGAAAAGAGCGTTAGGAGAAGAAATATACACAATTTACAAGAGAATTCTAGTTAGGAGAAAAGATATACACAACTTACAAGAGAATTCTAGTGTGTATTTATTGGTTCTCAGTAATAGAGTTATCATTGATGCACTTTTACAAGTACATTTGACACACATCGTAAGGTTCAGTAAAACTGACACGGGCCAAACACACCAATTTCAACTGTAGTTCGACCACATCTCATGATGACGAAGGTGAGCATTAATAGCAACAATCACAACACTAGCGACCGAGCTGCCATAGCGAAGTGCTAACCGCGATGGATGAGTTATGTTGTTTGAATAAAGCATTGTAGGAGATCGTTTGTGATTTACATCAGCAGCAACACCCGAAGTCATATGTGGTTGAAGGAGAGGAGCTCACAAATCCTTAACCACATGCACAAGAGATTTTAGGTGCTTTAGTCCCAAAAAAATTTAAACCGCTATCTTTGGTGTCATTTGACAGTAAAAGCAATCCCTAGGAGCACATAAACTCCATTAACACCCATATGCTATCATCGGGATAAACGACTCGTTAAAGTGCAAGTTGATAGGTAGAATATTCAAGGAGACTACCCTCAAATGGTACATAAGCCTTTCAAGGTTCTCAGTATTTAGTTACTAGGAACTAACAAGAAAGATGGTTCACCATTTTTCGGCCAGCAAGCACATACATTTTCCCCCTATAATCCTATTTAATGTTCAATAAGGATATTTCAAGTCCTTGCATGAGTATTTGGTCAATTTTAATGAAATGACCAACAATGTCGCCAACCTAAACCAAGAGATGTTTGTTGGAGCTTTTTAGTACGCCCTCAAGGCCATGAACTTCAACAAATTCTTAGTCTAAAAGTCGGTAGCTTTGATAGAAAATATCATTGTAAAAGCCGAATGTTATATCAAAGGAGAAGAAATCAAAGTTTAAAAAAGAACTTGAGATGTAAGTGAGAGAGGTGGCACTAAAGTACTAGGATAGCGAAGGAATCATAATTCAATACCAAATCATGAAAAGGTTGCATTCAAGCTCGTCACAAGATCCTTTGAGCATTTCACTGAACACGAGAAAAGAGTAGATCCTCCATGACGTCTACCACACCAAGGTCATTCCCGATTTCTTTCCCCCATAGGAGATATGATTGGGAACGAGCCATAGAGATGGTGCAAGTATCACAAGTAACGTAGTCAGTACATAGATGATTGTCACCACCTGAGCGAGAAATTGAGAAGTTTATCCAAGAGGGTAGCTTGTGGTGATATGTACGAGGTAACTCCCAGAATCTGGGCAAAAGAGAGATACAGACATGCACATGACACCAAGGGACGTCACCACCTAAGAAAAGTCATATTTGGGGAGAAAAACATGACCCGACCAAGTGATCCACACTTTGAAAATGATTGCAAGGGGTTTCGCAAGAGGGGGAACACTAGCTCTTCAAGAAAGAGGTATGCATGTGTTGGGTGAAAAAAAGCCAACTCAAAATATCAATAGGGGAAAGGGTCGAAGTCGACAGGAAAGTAGAGGAAGAAGGAAAGGTGTTCTGAGTCGACAGCACGCATGGATCGACTTAGACATGTGACGGTCGACCAGGTCAACGGATGAGGCAGATGACGAAGTAGTTTATTGCCTGGTGGGAAATGGATTTGAAAAAAGGGAAACATGGGGAAGTTGCAAAAGTAGTGGGCAGACACGTGACGACATCAAAAACAACCTGACGGTTATTTCACTTATCTATATAAGGCAAAGCCTGCCTCCAAGATAGAGGCATTTTTTGACTGCATTGTAAGAAAAACACTCTGAGTACCGCACATTAAGAGAAAATAGTTTTTCATTCCTTACAAAATGTACGAGCACGTCCACTTGTATTTACCAGTTTGAGTTAAATTTACCAAGTTTTTTTTTATGTTGCAAAAGCAACGCCTTTACTTTCATGCCATTTCCCTTTTCTTTGTTTTTTTTATTTGAATGGAAGCATCATTGTATTTACTCACTTAAATTCATCATACGCACGTCCAAATAACCACCCAAACTACCATAAATTCACACATCCAGAACCAAGCATCCTGGGACTAGTTTGGTCGGTTCCACAAGTAAACCCGTGCCGGAAGGTCAGAGGTTGTCCGTGCAAAAACATGTGCGAAACAATTGGCACATGTGGTGGGACCCGAAGGTCTGGGTATATGCGTTTGCGCAGTGGTAAGATGGTAACACCACGACAAAATGAAGAATCGTCTTCGCAGGAAAATCCAGTCGTATCACCGGTAACGGTCGTGAACACTGATTCCACGACAGTAGCTTCGACCGCTCATAACGGACCACTCACAACTCCGCGTCAACCTGAGGTAAGGCCGACAAAGGTAGGAGTCAGAGGGCAATACTTGCCCAGTTTCACCATGCTGACACTCTAGCACTTGGGAATGCCGACAGAGTTCATGCCGATGCTACTATAGTGGCCAATCACAGGAGAAAGTTCTTCATCAGCATTTTTTCCATATCGGAGCCTAGGGACTTTGACCAACCAAGGGGTGAGGCCTCCAGGGTTCGGTTCGTTTTCCTCCGCAGTACCAACTTACACCACCAGTTCTGTCGCTGTTATGCGACAACAGATGGACGAAAGCAATCATGAAATTGGCAATTGATTATGTTGATTATTTGATTTGTTGTGGTTGAATCCATGTTTGAATCATTATAACACCCTATAAAATATACATTTAGGAAATACATTATACGAGATATTATTTTGGTACCGATACAACCCAAGTGTCTAACTATATCATTATATACATGTCAATAAATAAGATGCAATGTATGGCACATGACATACAATAGCGCCTATAAAATAAAAACTAAGATCTAGGTGCAATCTCTTATTTGCACATAATCCACAACTGAAGATTACAATAGTCAGAATCCTTTGAAACATCAAAACACAACTTCTCTTGTACATAACCTATAAACAACACCTAAAAAATAACAACAATACTGGGGTGAGATGATGATCTTAGTGAGTTCTCTTATCCTATGGGTTCACTCGGCTTAACAAGATTTTCTAATAGATTTTCTTAACTCAAGTCCTCCAAAGAGAATAGAGAAGCAAGTAACTAGGGGGTTATCACATTGTATGGAAACATATACACTTGAGTTCACCAACTCAAATGAATCATTATTAAGAAACCATACCAAGGCATATTTCCCCAGCCAACCCTACGTCTAGGATTCTCGAAGCGGGTCACAGATCCTTGTATCATGTTTCAACTTTCTTTTGGGTTTCATATTCTTCCATGGGACTCATACCCAATCTAAGAATCATTGCTCCCTGAGCCTTATTCCTCATATGGGACTCTAACCCACTTTGAGGTCCATGTCTTCTATGGGACTCTAACCCATTTGATTGATCATACGCAAAGCAATAATGCATATATCTCAATTCTTTGGGACAGGCACGCCAATGGGGGTTGTTTTCGAATACATGACTAGTCTATTAAGCGCAACATAATTATGCTAAAAAAATCACTAAGTGATCACAACAACCAATTCTCATGTTATCAACTCATGTTGCAGCAATCATAGTTAAAGCTTACACACTCTGCCTCAAGCTATCTTATTCAACTTATGCTAATTGGCAAACATCCGTCTGATTATCCTATGGTGGGATTAACCGAACTCAAAGGGAAACTACAGTAGAATAACTCATAGAGACTTCTTTCTATATTATATTTCCTCTTCATTAGCTTCCTAACGCACCTGTTCTTGCATCAATTGGAGCTACCATTCCCATTTTATGGTGGAAACAGGGAATAAGGTATTTAACCAACTTCAATCCCATCGCATCATACATGAAAATTTAACATAAATATCATATAAATCATTAACATAATTTTTTTTACTTCAAAGAGCTTTCCAATGCATACGACCGCGTCTCATTTCGAGTTACGAAACTCAAGTTACTTCACAAATAATGCAGAAGGAAAAACATACAAAACTGTCAGCCGCGCTGGAAAAT